ACTTGGGGATTTCCTATCTTTTGTTGAATACCTTTTAATTGGTTTTTATCTCTAGCTTCTTTATTAGATGATTGGTATCCTTGTGCAAATTTAGTCAGTGTATGCCAAATACAGTTTTAATCTGAATGAGGTATGGCTACATTTGGTTAGGATCTTATGGGGCTGAGAAGCTAGTTAGTCATATTTGGACGTGGTAGAGCATATACTTTTTGTGTCACCTTGATGTATATTGGCAAGTTGGGGCGGCAACTGCAGGCTTTTGAACTCGAAGAAGGGGCTGAGGCTGACAAATTGATGATACACATTGGCATTGTAATCTACTTAATTGTGTCAAGTCAAGCCATTGAGCAAGGTTTTTCTTTCATTCTTTTTTTTTTTTTTAAGATCTATTGAGTGGTTAGATGTACAGATCATTCAGGAGAGTTGGACTATTTGGTGGATATCAGTCATTTATGAACAACCCTCTTTTTTTGTTAGTTTACCCTTTCCTTTTTTTTTTTCTACATTTTTCATGTAGAAAAAATGTGAGCTCTTGTTACCTTTGATGTTTGAGCTCTCACTACATTCTCTATACGGAGGAACTAAATTTTGTCTAATGTACAGTCGACATGAAGAAAGTATAAAATAATGTTCGGGGGTATATTTATTGTCATAAAATTTTTAGAAAATACTCTATATCACTATTGGTGATTATGATATATTAAATATGTAATCTATGATAGCTCTTTTACACTGAACATGCATATGGTGATGCATCATGAATAGCAGTGCTCAAATCTATACTACTTTATAGTGTAACTTCATGTCCTCCAGATAGTTTTATGGTCAAATTGCAGTCTTTTGGTGTCATATGAGATTCTAAATTCCACCCAAAAGGCATCCTTTATCATGCAAGCAAACATATTTCTTTTGCTTAAGGTTCATATTTTCAGCGGTAATGTTGACGTTTAATTTTGCTATGATTTTCCTTGGACAAATCTTTGTATGTCATATTCAATTGGTCATTTTCTGCTAATAATTTAACGGTCAAATTTCATATCCCCTTCACAGATTTTTTTTTCCCCCCCAATAGAAATCTCCTGCACAGTTTTTGTGATCTGATAAAACAGAGGTAAGTGTTGCCGTAAAACTTTACGATTTTCAATGGATGTTAATGCTATTTCCAGTGATATAATGGGGTTGTTTTTTTTTTGAACGAAATTTAGAAAAAATTTGAATTCGAGTTACAACTTTATTTAAGTTAATGTTCGTTTGTAAAATTTGAGTTTGAACTTGAGTTTGGGGTTAAACTCGAGTTTAAGTTTTCTCTTCAACTCGAATTTAAATTAATGAACAATATTTTTTTTATTATTAAAAATGTCATAATTTTTTTGTTTTTTCTATTATTAAAAATGTCATAATTTTGGTAATTTCTATTATTAAAAATGACCAAAATTAAGAAATAAATAAGTTCTAGGTGCAAAAGAAATTAAAATGAAAGAAAAATTAAATTTCAGGATAAAAATTAAAAAAAAAAAGTAAAAAAAGAACTAAAATTAAGTAATAAATAAATTTTAGAGTACAAAAAAAATATCTAAGTAGGATAACATCTGTAACAAAAAAATTAATTTGCACAAATAAAAGAAGAAAAGTTAAAAGTAAGGGCAAGAGCGAAAAATATAAAATTTTAGAGAAAAAAAGTAAAAGGAAAAGAGGAGATGAAAAGGAGAAAAAAAAACCATCAAATGAAAAAAAAAAAATATCAGCAAAGAAAAAAAAAACTCACAAAAAGACAAAATAAAGATACCAAAGTTTAAATAGTATTTTTGTGTCTACATAAATAAATGCATTACCTTTTCTTTTATAGTTAGATATTAGAGATTATTTTAAGCTGATCTATTCTAGTCCTTTATCTAACATCACAGAATCTGTTGTGTAAATCCTCTATTGTGTTGAAATGCATGGATTTGCGATGAGATCTCCTTCTTGGCAACTCAACAACACCCAGCTTCGGTTCAATCAAGGAATTCCACTGCTCGAGCTACAATTAAATGGCAACCCTCTGATATATTTTGTTGCAAGCTTAATGTTGATGCCTCCTTGTTTCCGAAATATGATCATGGCTTGAGATTCAGAAGGTTTTATTATGACAGGACCAACTAAAAAAACTCTACGGAGTTTTCTCTGTCCGTGAAGCTGAAGTTAAAGTTCTCTCTATCGGTCTTTCGTGGGTTCAAGATAGGGAGAAAGAGAGAAATATATGAAGATTTGAGATGAATTAAAATTAATAGGTCAATAGCTTACATAAGTTAATAAATAGGTTAAATTACTGTTTTTATCCATAACTTGTCTGGTTATGAACCATAACTTGACAAATTATTATCCATAATTCACAATTTTTGTCCATAACTTGTCTGGCTATGAACCATAACTTGACAAGTTTATCCATAACTTATCTGGTTATGAACCATAACTTGACAAGTTATGGCCTATTAATTTCTATAACTAAAAATTGGCCTATATACTTTCTTAAGCTTTTCATATTGGCATATTTTCTACCATTTCCCTTCAAGATATTAGTTTAAAGCCCCGTTCATTTCATAGATTCGAGTTTATAATTTGAGTTTTGCTACAGTAAAAAGCTATTAGAAACAGTTCATCTAATTTTTTTGCTACACTAAAAGGCTCTCACATAAAATCACATCCAAACTCGAATTAACAAACTAAATAAGCTATAAATTTTCATTTTGTGGAGTTCAATGCATTGACAATAATTCAAATTATAAATAGCTTAATCTCTTATTGTAAAGTGTTTAGAATGTTTTTGTTAGGTGTATCTAACTTATTATCTATTTTTCTAAGAGTCTGTGTGTTTAGGAAAGCCAATAAAACTGCATATCTTTTAGCTACTTATGCTCTTAATATTGATAATGAGCTAATTTAATTGGAGAAATATCTTTCTTTTATAGAAATTGTTATTGTATCTTACGTTTATGATGTATAATAATAGGTTCTATATATTTAAAAAAAAAAAAAAAAAGGGGATGGGTATTAACAAAAAGAGAAAAAAAATTGAAACCAATTATTTAGGGTTCGTTTGGTAGATGAATTTAAATTAAGGTGATTTTAATTATGATTCTCATGATTTTGAATTCAAATTATGATTATGAAACCATGATTCAGAATCAGGGGTTTGAATCACCTTGAATCAAGATGTGGTGATTTTAGAATCATGAGTGATTCTGGTTTAAAACATCACATCAGATTCAAAATCATGATTCAGAATCATCCAAACCAAACACTGATTCAGAATCATGATTCAAAATCATTGTAAATAACACTAATTTTGAACTAAGATTCAAAATCATGATTCTGGATCTATCTACTAAAACGAACCCTTAGGGATGAAAGTGCCAAATTATAAAAATATTCAGGGGCCAAAAATGCAGAAACGCAAAAAATGAAAAAATAACCCTTTGACCTAACGACGTCGTTTCTGTACTTCTGCTCTTCTTTTTCTTTCCTCGTTCGTGCGCTTCCTGTCTTGGAGAGGAGAACTGGAGAAGAAGAAGAAGAAGAATGGGGAGTGAGCTGAAACAAAATTCCAACAAGTTACAACTCAACCCCAACTGGGCTAATCTCCAAAAAGTACTTTCCTTTCTTTCTTTCTCTCTTCAAAATATTATTTATAGCTTTTTTATTTTTCTTATTTTTATTATTGCAGAGCCTCACCAGCCATGGCGGCCCAAAGCCTTCAAAACCATCTACAGACCAATCAGAAATCCCAACAGGCATATTAGGTGAAAATAGGGTTGTTTTATTACTTTACTACTGCTTGTTTTCTTAGCCTTTTCTTTTGTTGGACCAGACGAAAAAAAAAAAAAAAAGTTGGGGACTTGGGAGTGCAAAAAAGAAAAAAAAAATTATATAGAAAATATGCATTTTTTGTTTGAAGTTTAAGGATTTCTTTTTCTGGGTATTGGAAGAAATTCACCTTTTGGATTTCAGAAGTAAGAAAAGTTTATGAATATGGATTCTTTTCATTGGCTCTGTTGTTGTTGCTGTTGTCTTTTTTTTTTTTTTGCCCACTTAATCTGATTTTTTTAGAGGTTTTTGGTTGCAGGGAAACGCAAGGAGAGATCAGATAGCAAGCTTGGTGATAATCCTCTTACTCCAGTTAGTGATGACTTTAGGTGATTCTATTGGATTAATTTGTTATGTGGGGGTTTCTGTTTGGTTGTGTGGAAAGAAAAACTTAAAAGGAAGTTATTTTTTAAATTTATCTTCATCTGTTGTGAAATGCGTCGTTGAAATGTCATAACAGTGTGTTCACTTTATTGAGTTATGAGAAGCTATTTAAAATTTTCAAATTCTTGGGAAAATTACAAAATGCTTTTCTGGTTCAAGTGAAATTGGTTTGCTTAAGAATTACATTACAAAAATGAACCTTTAGATTATCTACCACTTAAAATATATCCTCTCTTTTCAAAAAAAAAAAGCTCTCCTTTCTAACACTTTTTAATTGATTTAATGTTGTGAAATTAGACAAGTTGCAAAGTTTATCTTAGACAAATTCTTTTCTTCACATCTATTCCTAACCTTTTGTGAAGGCAATTATCATGTTTAATTTGATCAAACGTTGCATAAGGGATGATATTTTTAAGGGATAGGCAATCTGAAGGGTTACTGTGTAATTTCTAGGAACGCGGGGATGAATGTTTTGCATTTGCCTTTAGCACCTGCAAAGTATGAAATTAAGGGTCCGTTCATTTTGCAGGTTCGAGTTAAGAACTTGAGTTGAAAAGTGAATTTATGTGAGAGAGAACACTGTAGCAAAAAAGTTGAATTTGAATTTTTATGAGAGAAAAATACTGTAGTAAAAAGTTTGAGTTGTGATTCGAATTGTGAAACGAACAAGGCCTAAATTTGGTGTGCTTGCATTCATAAAAGAAACAAATCCTTCCCAGTCCTATTTGTGTCTTGGAAAGTTAAACTTTCCCTCTCCATTTTTCTTTCTTCATCCAAGAGGAAAAAGAAAAATACCATGTTAGTAATATGGTGAGTATTTTTGTTGGCAGTCTAACAGATGCCGTAGCCATGGATTGTGAAATGGTTGGTGTTGGTCAAGGGAACAGAAGCGCCCTCGGACGAGTTACGCTGGTATGTATCAGTTTCTTTCTCTGTGCCACCTGCTGTTGATGAGCTATTGTACTGATATTATCATTCCAGACTCTGGTAGTTGCATCATGTGCCGGTATTATGTGAAACATTGTGCAAATTTCAGATTGGTTATGTCTTTTTTTTTTTTTTTTGGCAGTATATTTGGACTAATTTAGTAGGAATATGAATAATCCATGATACTCTTTTCTTAACTGTTTTCAATAATTCAATGTTTGTCCCGTTTCTAAGTTGTGCATTGAGAATAAGCTCAAGCAATCTTGTGAATATGAAATGATTCAACGCTTGTCCTGTTTCTAAGTTGTGCATTGAGATTGAAGTTGTCACATCACATTGAATGTTTTATGACTTTGTCATATACAAGATTGAACTATATACCTTTTTGACTTCGGGCACTAACATTAGGAAATTCCAGAAATTTTTTTGTAATAACTTTTCAATTTGAAATAAAGACATTGTAATAACTTTTTCAATTTGAAATAAAGGCATATTTGTTTCTCTTAAATCCTGTTCGAAAGGAACCGAAATTACAGCTATCAATTCAAAAGTGAAATAAACAAGTGAATACTAATAGATTCATTCAGCTCTGCACTGTTTAAGAAACAGAAAAAAAATATTAAATATGCTTAGAGTTACTCCAGCAACAAGATCTTATTCCTGATAGAAAACAGGAAGAAATGAACAATAACTTTAGGATGTTATTGAAGTTGTGGGGTTCTTGGCAAAGGGTTTTAACGTGGCTATGAGGCGATAAATAAGATGAACGCTGGCAAGTATTTATGAAGTTTCTCGAGTTGTGTGGTGGCAGAATGGCAAGTTCCTCTGATATCATACGATACGTTTTGATAAGAAAATGTGATTTCACATTTTTAAAGTCTGTTATTCCTCCTAGGTATTAATTTACTAGTGTACTTCCATGCTTACTAAGGTCATTGGTTGCTCATGGTACTTCAATTTTGACAGGTTAATAAGTGGGGAAATGTCATTTTTGATGAGTTCGTTCGTCCAATAGAGCGCGTTGTTGACTTTCGGACACAGATCAGTGGCATTCGGCCCCGAGACTTGAGGAAAGGTTGACATTTCTATTTTTATTCTTCTCCCTTTTGTCTGCTTTTCAGAAATCACAATTTGGAGCTTTATGGGCACATCCAACATACTGACTGCCTGGTTAACATGAATGCGTGCTTGGACTTTTGGTAGTTAGTTTGATCATTGCCATGGCAATTGTTGCTTATATATAAAGTTTAGTGGAAGATGGATGAACAATGGTCTTTTTTTTTCTTTCTTTTTTTTGGTTTGAAATTCATGAAAACATTAATCAGAACTGTTTTCAGTTTACATGAAACTAAAAGCCATTCTCGTTTTTTGCTTTTCTTATTTTCATGATATGTAATAGCCTTTTCTCCTTAGTTGCTTCTAATGCTATAACAAACTGTTTTTAGAAAACGACACATTAGAGCTTATAGGGTTGAAAATTCTATAATAGTATTTAATCGCTCCAATAATTAGCATTTGCGGCCGCTTTTTGGATGTACTCTTGATGAATTTAATTATTCCTTGCCTGTGCTCTGGTGTTTCCTTTGCAGCAAAAGATTTCTGCTTCGCTCAAAAAAGAGTGGCAGAGTTGATCAAAGGGAGGATTCTTGTGGGTCACGCATTGCGCAATGATCTCAAGGTATGCGGACTCGGCTGTAATATGTTAATCTGATTCTGATCCGATATCTTGAATTTGATTGGCACTGTTACATCTTCTTCTTCTCATTCTTCTTCTTCTTCTTCTTCTTCTTCTTCTTAAATGATAGGCATTGTTATTAAGTCATCGAAAGGAGGACATACGTGATACATCAGAATATCCACCCTTTCAAAGGTAATTATCCCCTCTATTGGCGCCTTTTTTTGTTAGTTATATATATATATCATTATTTGTTTGTTCTTAAATCAAAGAGCTGCAAGCAAATCTCTACTTTTTACAACTACGGATTCGATTCTTTTGGCAAAATAGGGAAGGGCACAGGAGCGCGCTCCGGCATCTCGCAGCATCGTTTCTTAATGTTGAAATCCAAAGTGGAGAGCATTGCCCGGTTAGCATTTTGAGTTTTTCTGTGACAATTATGTCTGCATTTTGCACTTCACATTCCTTTGATGTTTGGAAAAAAAAAAACAAAAAAAGTGTTGTCGGATTCTCATGGTCGAAAATTTTCAAATGATACCAACATATTGTTTTCAGTTTCGCTCATAGTATCATTTCAGGTAGAAGATGCTCGTGCAGCAATGCTGCTTTATGAGAAAAACAGAAAAGATTGGGAAAAATTGGCTAAAGATCAAATAAGACTCAAACTAAAGCAGAAGAAACGCAAGCCAAGAAAGAAAACAAAGCAGAGAGATGGTTTGCATGCAGATGATGCTACAACCGCAGCCTAATTAGTGAATCGACTTCGTTTCGAAGAGTCAAAGTAAATGAATTTCGATTTTGCGGCAGCAGAAGCAAGAACATGGCGGACACATCATGGCTACCTTGAAGTTATCCCGCCTTCAAAAGATTGTAGGATTCGGCGGGATGAAATTTGCGAAAAGAGTTGGCATTTTTTTTTAAAAATTTTTGTTTTTAGCAAAGGAGGTTGCTCATAATCTTATAGCTTTACCATTGACTTTTTCATTCTTTTCAAATATTAGTGTTGCATCCTTAATAGGAAAAGCTTTCGCTCTAGTTTTTGGTAGCCAAGAATATTTTTACTTTAGCAAACCATTCGAATTTCTTTGTACCAAATAGGACCTAATTTGTAAAATGAGGGCAAACTCAAAAGAGCTTGATTTTGTTTCGGTACCATAGGGAGAGGAGAAATTGGATGCAGGAAAAAAGCAAATTCCTAATTGTGTTTATTTATTTATATATTTGTCTTGATTTTACCTTTTTCTTTTTTGTGTTACCACTTTTATGAATTATTACTAGAGCCAGAATCAATAAGGTAAACGGTAAACCATGTCGTATAAATAACTGCTTTCATATTGAAGTCTGGCGTATAAGTTACTTATCATGTCGTTTTCTACTTTTTATTTTTTATTTTTTGTCTTTTTCTCATTTTTTGTGTCGGAGTAAACCATATCCTACACAAAAAATGAGAAAAGGAGAAACATCTCACAAAAGAAGAAAAATTGGAGAAATTAAATTTCACTCACACTATGGGAACTCTCTCTGAAGAGTGAGAATGAGATGCAAAATTGAGAAAGGGATGAGCTCTATTAATGGTTGAGCTCCTTTTTGAGAAAAACATATAAGCCAATTATAAATAACTAACTCTTCTCTCAAATGTCAATACCGAATTTGATACTAACTTTCCTTTTCTTTCTTTTTTTTTTTCTTTTAAAAGTTGTGACTGCCTTTGACTTATTAGGCAATGCTTACAGTGATGCCCTAGAAACTTCAATTGTAAACATTTTTTCTATTTAAATACATAAAGTAGTTTTTCATTAATTATTCACATGAAGTAGTTTCTCAAAAATAAAGTACTTCATAAATATCATGAAGTCTAGGTGTTATAAACCTAATGTGCGACTGAGCTTGTTGTATACACATACATGTACTTGTAATGGTTTTTGTTCTAGCTACTTTGAGACTTAAGAAATCATATTTTGAATGTTTGTTACTGCATGTTATTTTCCAAAGGATCACACTCTTT